TTTTTTTTTTTTTTTTTTTTTTTACTGGGAGATACGATGAAAGTTATTAGACGGTAAGGTTGCATTGAGTAAGCAAGCCAATTTTTATCTTTGACGATTAGAACATTTTTTTTGGTATATTTTAATATTTTATTATAAAAATCAAAATTAATTATAGTTTTTAGTGTGTTTGTTCTTATTAAATTAAAAATTTATACCGATTTCATTAATAGAAGTGAATTTAGATTATTTAATAAAAAGAATACATACTTGGTATGGAGTTATGGACGTATGTGGTATCGTTACTTCCTCATTTCTTTCTTAGGAAAGTATATAATTAATTTAGATATTTTAAAATATGCTGTGGTTGTGGCGTGGATTTTGCCAAGTATTGAGCAGAACAGGGATAAAGTGTGTTGTGATAACGGACGCACCGCGCGCGAAGTGTTGTAGAAAGAGAAAGAAGAGGAAACTCAATTGAATTCAATGCCGCCACTTTCACTGCCTCTGAATTTGAAATGGACGCCGTTGAATATCAAAGCCACCGCCACCGCTCCCGCCACCAGCAAGGTCCCTGAGCTGCCGCTGCCGGAGAAGATCCGAAACTCCAGAATATTGGTCCTCGGAGGAACGGGTCGGGTCGGAGGATCCACCGCCGTTGCACTCTCCAACTTCTGTCCCGACCTTCAAATCCTCGTCGCCGGCCGAAACAGGTCAGTCACGGCGAACGTGCGTCCTCTAAAATTGCGTTTGCGAGTTATTCTACATTTCTAATTCGTTGCACGTGCGACAGGGAGAAAGCCGAAGCTCTCACTGCAAAACTTGGCGGTAATTCAAGTTTTGCTCGTGTTGACATCGACGACGTGAATTCGCTGGAAACCGCGTTGAAGAGTAAAATTGCACTCGCTTCCAATCACCGTTCGTTGTCTTATGCTTGTGAATTGAAATCGATTGTTAATATTGTGAATGCGATCTGTGCAGGTGTAGATCTCGTAGTTCATGCCGCTGGACCCTTCCAATGTGCAGAGAGGTGTAGCGTGCTTGAAGCTGCAATAAATACTAAGGTTACTATTATTTTCAATCATCGTTTCTGAATTATTTTGTTTATGCTATGTGTGCATGCATCTTCACTTATACGCATGCATATATTTAATGTATATTTTTCCGCAGACAGCGTATGTTGATGTTTGTGATGACACAAGCTATTCATGTCGTGCGAAGTCCTTGATGAATAGAGCGATAGCTGCAAATGTTCCGGCTATAACAACTGGAGGAATATACCCTGGAGTTAGCAATGGTGCTTTTACCTATCTATCTTCATTGTTCTTTCGTTTCCAAATCAGAATCGGAATTAATGTGAAAATTATTTGATCATCAATTTATGTTAAACTGACGTGGATAGTACTTGATTATCAAAAGTAACACAGCTGTTCAGATGAGTATGAAAAATTGTATAACTGTTGATTCTAGTTTTATTCTTATCCGTACTCAATGTGAGGTAAAACATGTGTTTGGAATTTTGATTGACTGACTGATCCATGCTGTTTATATGGTGTGACTCAGTTCATAATTATTGGATTTCTTCTAGTATTCATGACTAAAGTTTCAAAAATATTTGAGGTGCATAGGTTAATTTCAACTTATGAGAGTAATTTGATTCAAATTGACCATATGTTGCTGAATATACAAGACAAAAAGTTCATGCAGATTGACAGTAATTTTGTTTGTAGATTAGTGTGAAGTTAGGGCAGATCACGATTTAGGGTGAACCGATCTTTTCTGTGTCTGCTGTATTTTGGTAGCTAACATTTCCTACAATTTTGTCAGTCATGGCAGCAGAGCTAGTCCGTGCTGCAAACGAAAGTAACGATAAGCCAGAGAGGCTAAGGTTGGTGGATCCTTTCATATAATTCCAAAGTTTATGATTCCTTTTTTTAAATGTAAATGTATTTTGGTTGATATGTCATTACTTATCTTACCGGTTGGATTTGTCATCGTATGTTGAATTCCTCGACATATTATGCCTAGACATTTAAGATAATTGAGAATGTAATGTAACATAGTGCACATCAAATGCATCCTTAAAGTCCTTCTATGTTATTAAATTTTACATTATCTTCTGAGGTGAAATAAGCATAGCAGAAAAATGACAAAAAAAATAATCCAAAAAGGACATGGGGAATATTCTTGTTTATTTATTTTCTGAGTTTCATGTTGATTTAGCAACTTATAAGCTACTATCGCCAACTCAGATTCTACTACTACACAGCTGGAACTGGTGGTGCTGGCCCAACCATATTAGCTACAAGCTTCTTTCTGTTGGGAGAGGAAGTAGTTGCATATAACAAAGGTTGTTTTCTAAGAGTTTATACAAGTTATTTATTTTATCTAGATTAAATTACCATTTTGTTTGTAGGATTAAATGATGATGCTGGAATGTTCAACTAGGAGAAAAGATCAGAATGAAGCCATATAGTGGAATGCTCAACGTCGACTTTGGAAAAGGAATTGGCAAAAGAGATGTTTATCTATTGTAAGTTTGTCGATATATAGAAACTTAGAAAGCATTGCAAGTCAGAATACCCCTTGCAACCTGATTCAAAACCAAAATAAAAAATACAAAATCTTCATTGAATCTGGTACTGTTTCAGTCATATCTCATATGATATCCAGTCCACAACAAATTGATTTAATTACCCCTATATATTTGCTTTCTTCAGAAATTAGGATCCCACTTCAATACATGGTTTTCAGGAATTTACCAGAGGTTAGAAGTGCTCATGAGATTCTAGGAGTGCCAACTGTAAGTGCTCGATTCGGAACAGCACCATTTTTCTGGAATTGGGGAATGGAAGCTATGACAAACCTTCTTCCTCCGGTATGCTCTTGAATCACTTGGAATGACTTGGTTGCAGATAAGTGCAATTGCTAATAATATGCATGGAAATATTATATCAAATACAATATTGACTTTAATAGGTTACTCGCTATATTATGAAATGTTACAGCAAATTTCTGCGTATCAAATCAGATAGCAAGTATTTCCTTTATACTTATTATGACATCCACGATGTCGTAAAATCCGATGTTATGATGCAAACAAGTAGGATAAGTAATAACAAAGTCAAGAATTAGTTTTGTAGGTTATATGAGCATTATACTAACCTTAGTTGATCTTTGGAAGGTTTGATTCAATTAATGAGCTGCATCTGATCTCGCACCTCCTTTGGTAATACACTAATTAATATTTTTGAGCCTATGCTTCGCAAATACGAACTTCTTACTATAATATGAATTTTACTAATATTTAGGTTTTGTAAATAATAAAATGAAAAAGGATGTTAGATTTTTTTCTTTTGAGTGTTTTGGTTTTTAAAATTAGGTTTAAATATGATTTTAGTCCCTTAAATTAAGGATGAATTTATTTTTGATTCCTCAAATTTAAAACAATTGTTTTTAGTTCTAAATATTTTTAATTCTCTAACAAAATTTGAATATAAAGACTAAAATCAGATTTTTTTTAAAATTATAGGAATTAAAAAGACCAGTTTTAAATTTGAGAGATTAAAAATAAATTTATCTTAAATTTGAGAAACTAAATACATTTTTAAACCTTAAAATTATATTGCAAAATCTTTTTTAGAAGGAAATCTTTTTTTTGAAAATTTGATTTTAAACTTTTATTGGAATGGCTTAGAAGAAAACTGAAAATAAAAAATTGGAACGGTCTAGAGTTTTTAATTTTAATAACTTAAAAAGAGATTGTTTTTAAAAATAGATTTCAAAATTTACTTCGATCAAGCATTTTTTTATTTATAAAACAAACAATTTTTTAAAAACAAGAAACAAACTAACCCTAATATTCTCACGTGATTTGTTTTAAAGATTTTATTTTAAAAATTGAATTTGTGCATGCTAAATTCTTTGACAATGATATCTGAAGAGCTATAACGGCATAACCCGAAATATCAATGTACAATATTTCATCTCTCCCTACCAATAGTAATTTATATAGGATTGTTATTTACTTTCATGAAAAGGGAAATTAAAGTATATATAGTTGATTATTCTGCCAATGATCTGTGACTAAACATGCAGGAGTTTCTGAGAGACAGAAACAGAGTCCGAAGTTTGGTTCAGTTGTTTGATCCTTTTGTTAGAGCAATTGATGGGATTGCTGGAGAACGCGTATCAATGAGGGTGAGGGGAGTGGAAAGGGTTAAACTAGTACTGGTTTAGCTATTTCTTTCTTCTAGAAGTTACTAGTTGTTATGATGTTTGTAAAGTGCGTAAATAAACTAATTATTTACGTAAAAAAAAAATCTTTTTCTTATCTAATGGACAGGTTGATTTGGATTGCGCAAGTGGACGCAACACTGTTGGTATATTCAGTCATAGGAGACTTTCAGTGTAAGTTTTCCTTTTCTCTAATTTTTGGGTGAAATTTTGAGTAAGTTTTAACCATGCTTTTATTAGGCTAGCTTTTGTTGCCTAAATTATCAAAAACAAAATGTATTTGTCACTAAATTTAAGGGTTAATTTTTTTTAAATACATAATATCAAATCATTAAATATATATATATATATATAGTGACAAAACTTGGATAAAAAATTTAGAGGTACTAAATTAATTTTCTTATATATAAATTAAATTTTTTATTAATTAAAAAA